CCCTGCCCCCCCCCCCGCCCCCGCCAGCACGTCACCTGCAGCCCCGCCCACTGCGTGGTCCTGGGGCTAAGCCCAGGGAGGCCTGCAGCTGGAAGGCGCCAAGCTCCCTCCCATGGACGGTGGGGAAGCCTCGGCCGCAGTCCTCAGTGACGATAAAGGAAGGGGGGGTGCCAAGCAGTGTGCTGGCGCCTCATGGGGCCTTTATTTATTTTCTCTTAAAGTCAGGAAACAGTTATCAGAGGTGCCACCCCATGCCCACTGCCATGTCCCTAACTCTGGACGTGGGGCAAAGGGAGGGACTCGGTTCCCAGGGGTCCAAGAAGAGGTTTCTTAGTTCCTCGGGCTGTGGGATATAGCCCAGGGTTGGGGCAGACCCACGCCATGGAGGGGGTGAGGTACCCCCAGGACAGGCCACCCCTGCAGTGGAAACGGCGGTAATTCCAGGGGCCCAGCCCCCTCCCCCTAGCCAAGCACTCAGGCAGCTCTGCTTTCCCCAGCTGAGCGCCAGCAGGACAAGCCGGCCACCACCAGACGCCTCCATAGCCAAAGCGAAACAGGCACCCAGGACGAAAATAGCCGTCAGATGACCAGAGGGCTGGCTCACCACAGTCCAAGGCAAGCTGCTCACAGCAGCTGCAACTAAAAATAGGCGAGAAGGGGACGCGTCTTTGGGAGAAGCACCGGGGAGAGCTCTGTCCTGGCTCCGGCCGCTGCAGGTGGGCATGATGCAGTCACTACGCTTCATTTCTGCTGAGGCCTTGGCGTCCCACCCCCAGGTGGCCCGGCAGAGCCTGGACGGGGTGGCCCACAACCTCTACCCGCTGCTCTTCAAAGCCAGCTACTTGCTGGAGCAGGCGGAGGTGGTCCGCGTTCTGCTGGAGCGCTGGCCACTGGAGGAGTTCCGGCTGGGTGCTCTGCTGGGCCCCAGCACAGACCACCCCGGGGACCTGCGGGACCGGGCCTGCAGGGCCTGCCTGGAAGCCTGCGTGCGCGGCCTCGCGGACCACATGCTCTGGCGCGGGGGCCAGCGGCGTCTGCGGGTGGCCGACCTCACGGGCATCCGAGACGTGCAGGTGCAGGGCTGTCCCTGTGGGAGGGCGCTGGGCAGGTGGGGCCGCACCAAGCTGCTGGCCAGGACCTGCTGCGAGCTGCAGGCGGAGCCCCGTGCAGCCCGGCGCCCCGTAGAGGTCCTCGCAGATATCTTCGTCACCGGGGGCAACTTCGACTTGGTGGTGCGGGCCCTGGGGCCGCAGGGTCCCGCCCCACTGCGCGTGCGCTGCCTCTCCTTCCGGGCCGACAGCCTGGGCCCCGGGCAGCTGCTGCACGTGCTGCGTCTGGCGGGGCCGGGCGAGCTGCGCCGGCTGGAGGTGGTGCACAACGTGCGTCTGCACGCCGGCCACGTGCAGCAGCTGCTGGCCCAGCTGGGCTTTCCCCGGCTGGTGTCGCTCACCCTGCCCGCCAAGGCCTTCGACGCGCCCCCTACCAGCACCCCCGCCCCTGACGGCGAGGACGGCCTGCTCACCTCCATCGCCCGGGAGCTCAGCCGGATGACGCAGCTCACCGAGTTGAGCGTGGCCTTCTCCACGCTGACCGGGAAGCTCCAGAAACTGCTCGGGTGAGTCTAGGGTGAGCAGAAGGAGGGTGGCAGGGGGAGGGCATCTGCTCACAGCCCCTCAGCCCAGGTCAGGGCGACTCGGGGCCCGGGCTGAGGACACACTAGCGGACCGTAAAACAGACCTGGTTACTTACAAGGCCACGAGCCCCCGTCCCCTCCGTTTTTGCCCAGCCCAGAGCAGCCGGAGGGGACCGACGGAGGGGGAGGTGGCCCGGCTGGGGCTGGTGTCGGGTGCAACCTGGGAGCACCGGAACCCAAAGGAGACCGCCTCCAGTTCGTAAGAAAAAGAGGAGCGTCCTCATTAGCAAGCAAACGACATAGAAGTAACTCCATTACATTGTATTAATTACCTGTCATCGTAACTAATTACCCCAGAGCTGGGGCTTACGAGGGCAAGACAGGAGCCGGGTGGGGGCAGCTGTGGTCTCCCCTGAAGGCTTGTCGGGGCGGGAAAGTGGAGTCACCCACTTGCACGCTCATTCTCATGGCTGTCGGCAGGCGGCCTCGGCTGCTCGGCCCGTGGGCCCCCCAACAGGCTGCGGATCAGAGGGCCCGCGGCCCTCGGGAGGGAGGCCCGCCTCCCGTGACCTTCCCTGGAGAGCGCTGTGCTGCTGCTCCGGCGCACTGCGTGGTGAGGGCCCGTCACTGGGCCAGGGGAGGCGCCACCGAGGGCCCCAGTACCCAAGGGCCGTTGGGCCACCTTGGCGGCCACCAGCTGTGAATATACTCATGAAAATTTATGGAAAATCAAACTTCTCATTTCTTCTCATTTCTCATTGACTGGGTGTAAGGATGTCTTTTCTGGCTTAGGGAGTCTGTGGCTTAACGGAATTTCTCTTCTATACAAAGGAAACCCAGAAGTAGCAGGCCGCAGCTGGCCAGGGCCCACACTGCCCCTCCTCCCCTGAGGGGCACCTGGGATCCCGTCGCCGTGCCCCATCCCTGCTCCTCCCCCCCTGGAACCCAGTCGCCCAGTTCGGGAAGGGGTGGTCCTCGAGCCCACACACAAATACGACTCTGCCATGTGGTGGCTCCCTGGGACCCTCAGGACAGTACTGCGTTTGGCTGGCCTGGGTCCTCAGCCAGAGGTGCCTGTGCTCTGGGGAAACGTGTTCCACAAGGCAGACGACACGTCACAAGCCTGCAGGGCTATCTTGTTAGCTCGGCCCTGACATCGCCTGTCGCACTCTGACCTGTCCTGCACGCTCGGTCTGCAGTCAGCTGGTTACTGAGAGCCTGTCCAAGGCCCCCGAAGGTCCAGGCGTGGAGTGTGTCAGGCCTAAGTGGGAGGGAGATGGGTGAGTGGTCAGGGAAGGCTAGGTCCCAAGGTGACCTTTGAGCGGAGACAAGGCACAGTGAGCCAGCGGAGGGCCCGGAGAGAGTGTGCTAGGCAGGAAACCCGCAGGTGAAGGGCAGGAGCTGGGGGTGTGGCAGGGCCGTAGGCA